CCGAGGAATTTCAAATTCTTAGTGCATGGGAGCAAAAACACTCGGATTATTATGATCTTTATAAGTTTATACTGATTATTTTTTTTAATATTGGTCAAGAAAAGTAAAGGCCGTCTGTGGATTCGGGTACAAAAGCCGGCTTACAAGTAATGCCGAATAATTTGCAGGTACACGAGTGTACCATATTTACTTACCTGTAATTTAATTAGAGCTCCGATGTAGTCTGGAGTCGCTACCAAGGTCAAGAAATACAAGTACTACGTTCACGATGTTATCAACTGTCAACAGCTGCCACATGGCAATCTATCACGTGACATTAGAGCGCCACCTACGATGAAGGTCGGTCAATTTGCACCATCTTGAATGTTCAAGGTGAACGTTCCGGCGAAGCACTCCACTATATAGGAATGTCCGAACGGAACAACCCGTGCAGGCGGACGATGATTTGCACTGGAACAGCAAGAAATGCCAGAGCCATATCGAAATTCAAATCTAAGCCGGCAGTATACTATTGAGAACAATTCATGTAAACTAAATGGGGCAAGTATTAATGGATATCATCAATTAAGAAAAAAAAAAAAACTTATGTATGTACAAATAAAAAAAAAATGACAAAAACTAATAAAATATCTGTAAAGGAAAACAGTACAATTTATTGCAGCAAGTGAATCCGAACCATCAAAGAGTGTTTAATGGTCAACCCATAACCTAGTAGCAATAAATTGAATCGGCATTTTGGTGAACTCATATCGTGTTTAAATATCAAATTTATTTTTTTGTCAAGTTTCCGAGAGGTGTCATCATTTAACAAATGAGCATATTAAAAAAGGGTGTATTTAGCAAAGGTATCAGTTCAAAAAATATAATTATGAGGTCACTACTAACTACACCAATGGTGTATGTTTTCTTCGCATAGCGTTGGATTAGTCGTAAACAGCAGAGCAACGATCGATATAAAATTCAAATAATATCGGAAGAAAATATTTGCTGACGTTACTTCTTATGTATTTCATTGCCTGTTTAACGGGTAATCCTCAAATTAAATATTTTCAAAACAGCCCAACCAATAAAAAAATAAATAATATTTAATTACAAGAAACAATTCCCACTACTGAACATCACTGTTGCTTTTTCGTTGATGTTTTATTTGTGTACGAATGGAATGTACAAACTCAACTTGAAATATTGGTGGTGATGATAATCGCTTCGTCCTCAATTGAGTGAAATACCTAGCGTAGGGATCGACTACTTTCAATCCCAGATAAGTTTTTAAACACGGGTCTGTTTATTATGAGTCCTGTGAAATAACAACAACGCTGTATAGACAACGACTGAATTGAAAACTTATAATAATCCTATTGTTTAATTTACACATAAATAAATTTATTATTGAATAAATTAAGATAATAATAGATATAATGACCCGGTGTGCCAGGCGTATGACATTATGACAATGTACTGGTAGTTACACTCTGTATAAACAATGTTCCATCTTCACTGAACAAGACAGGTAATATGTCTTTAATTCACTTTTGGTTATGTAGTTTACATGTCCATCATGTCTTCGACCATGTGATCGCAGTTTAATCCAAATATGCTGTAAATTGATTCACATAATAAGTAAGCGGGCTGGAGTCGTTACATCTAGTATATCGCTCAATTTGAAGTAATTCGATTAACACGATGTTATAAAGTGATTTTCATATCTAACTAAATTACGCATCTTGTTTCGCATTACAAAATATTATTTAATTTGGTTTGATTAAATGAATTTACTCTTATTTACTCTTATAGTAATGTTTCTTTTTTATTTTCTGTTTGAGAATGGGAACCAGTCAGTCAAAATGCACCCAAAGAACTTCCTTGGCAACATTCCTTAAATCAGATGAATTAAAATCTGATATAGACGGCGAACTTTCCAAGTATGACTTCCCATTTGAAAATCTAGTTCTAGAAGGTGGAGGCACTAAGGGAATCGCGTATGCAGGTGTGACAAAGGTAAGGCTATGATAGGGTCTGATAATTGTGATACTGATAAACTAACCATGGGTGTCATAGATTCCTCGATAGTTCACGATCATGTACTCAGATTACCAAATTTACTTTCTCGTACTTGTGACGATTCCCGATGTACGATGTCTCACGTCGTAACATGGAGCATAACTAGAGCAGCTAGGCATACAATTTCATAATGACCGATCCCTCAAATTCTGTTGCGGGTATGTCTATTTTTATCCACATCATAAACAAACCTTTCTGTAAAATAACTGCCGAGCTTATTTCCCACAGATTAATAAACTACTTACATCGTTTATACCTGTTGATTACGTTTATTTCGTCATTTACGTTCATTCCACGTTTTCCGTAAATCAGGCTGACTGGCGACGAGATCTCCGGTATAATCAGTGTATATACTGTATTGATGTAATAAACTATTCTACGTGTTTATTATTTACGCATACGTTTTCAGTGATTGAATTGTTTGCCGAGCCTTATTTCTTACTTCAAGTTATAACCCAGTCACGAACAACTACATACTTCATAAGTACGATTAGTATTAAACAGTCAAATCGTGGTTATATATATTAAGCACTGTCGATTCGTTAGCAAAATCCACTGTATAGTGCATCACGTTTACATCACTATAAAATAAGTGTGCACATAAAGGCATCCGAACTTTAAGCAAGGATTAAACAATTTTCTACTACTACATGTAAGTTTGGCTTTTATTCACAGGTAAAACGGGCGTCTTCATGTTATCCACGTGCCACACGTAAATTGGTCAATATTATCATGACTTATTTTCAAAATATGATCGATATGATTATCAAAGTTGAGGGGAAAAACAAACACTTTTTGCACTGATAAACAATATATTTTCTAAAATAATTGCAATGTGTTCGTTTTTGGCACGGCACACAAAGCCAAAACTTGCCTGACTGGTCAGCACCGGGGGGGGGGACTCCTACAAATAACGTTATGGGACGTGCTGCAATTCGGAGTGTTTTCAAGTAACTGACGAAATTTCCTGTAGCGGTCCTATTGTATATAATTTTATATGAGCCATCATAAAAAAGAGAATCATCATAAAATTTGTAACGTGAATTGTTGCCAATATATTGAGCTGGGTCTACTTTAACACCAAATCATTAGGCTGTAATTTTATGCTAATATATAGCGTCAATATTTCCTAAAAAGACGTTATAATACATTATAATACAATTTTTTATTCTCCAAAGGTTTTAATGAATACCGGTATGTGGCCTAAAATAAAACGATTTGCCGGTACAAGCATTGGAGCCATGTTTGCTGCTATGTATGCTGTGGGATACCATCCAGATGAGGCCGCCATTATTATGGACCAAGAACTAACTTCAGTCTTATTGGGTAAGTATTCCGAACATTTCCTCAACAAACTCGATCGACAAAAAGCCTCGATTTGGTTTCAGACCATTTGTAACCATACTCAAGCGATTTTGTTTGGATATTTCCGCTTTCTACGCAATTCCCTTGACAATTCCGTTAATAATAAATAACATGTTCCCCCTAACTTGCTAAAATGGAGTACCGGATTTATCAAGTATTGAACACATTTATAGTGTAGACCACTATAGATCGAATCGATATCGACCCCGTAAACACTCTTCCTATGACCCATACACGCCACAGAAATGCTACGCCACAAGGCACAGCAAAGATTCATTGGGATGTCCCAGATCTGTGGCAAACCAAAAAACATAGTCAAATAATAATAATAATTTAGTTGTTGCAAATGTCTACAAAGACAATTTTTTATATGCTTAGCTAAACTTGTCGACGAAACAGCTGCGAGAAGACTAGCCCCGAGACAAGAAAAGAAAGTACGATTTACCATTTCTACTGTATATTTCAGTAGCTTTTGCTACTGGTAGTTATGAAATTCGAACTCGCTTATCTTCTGACAAAGAGTGTCATAGTTTTCATGGTTCACAACTCGAGACCATTTGACAAAAGACAGTATTGATATCTATACGTAAATATAGAATTACAGGATGAGAAATATTTACAATTATCACATATATTTAACTATAACTATTATAACTTCCTTCCCAGATACGTGCATCAATGGTGATTAAGCGCAATCTGATTTTAAAGATATAATATGGAGAAGAACATTGCGATGCACACATTGGATGTCACTTTATGAAGTAAACTAATATGCATGTGCGTTTTCAATTAGCGCGAATGCGTATTGAATATTTTCTATTGTTTTAAACGAATTCCAACTTAAATTTACGCTGAGTAAAAAAAAAATCTGGATAAATCATAATCAGTGTGTTCATCGACATACTGTAAAAGACAGTGTTAACAAAAACAAAATAGATGTTCTCATCCACATTGTATTTTTTTTATCTCGCGTTATTCAACAGCGAAGGTTGACGATTGCTGACTGTGAGGGCATAGTGATACTCCAAAACGATACTTATTGAAAGTACTAATAACATCTCTCGTCTATCCAGACCATTCATACGGCTATCTGAGTCTCATTCCAAATGTAATTCGATGGTATGGATGGAACCCTGGAGAGAGACTACTGGAATGGTTTGGAAAAAAATTTGAATACAAAACCGGTAACAAAGATATTACCTTCAAAGAGGTATGCGTAGATTGACGTTTTGAATGGAACTATCACATTCGGACAGAATTTGTCGTTGGGCAAGTGAATTATGCGATGTAATTTCTTTGAACCAATATCACTCTTTAGCACTTCATTTAGCGTGAGGTAAAACATTGCTTTGGTACAAAATACTATTTGTTCGACGGAATAATACCAACACAATCAAAATACTATTATTTTTTGAAAATTACTACATGATATCTGCAACCTTTGATAGGTACTTCTGAAATGGCGATAATTTAGTCTAATTAATTCAGCATATGTAACACAATCGATCTGTGTGTTATATCTTTTTAATTCCATCGTTTTAGGTATTTGACAAATTTGGAAAGGAACTGTGTGTAGTGATATGTAACGTAAATCGAATGGACGCACAGTATTGCCACGTGAAAACCACACCCAACATGTCAGTGAGATTGGCAGTCAGAATGTCAATGTCTATTCCAGGTAAATTATTATTACAATTTGTACGATCAATTCAAACATGCTTAAACATCACATAGATTGACATTCTTTACACAGTTCAACAATATAAAAATAATTGTCTTTATTGTAGCCACAATTTAGAAGGTTAACATATATTAAGTAGATCTTTCTTTTTAGATTACCAGATAAAGCATACTGTAGCATGTTAAATACACAGTTTGGACAAATCTGAGTCCACGTCATTCCTTTGAACACACACACAACTAAAGACATTTAGTTTAGCTATATGTGCTACCAGTGACTAGTTTAAACCACCAGTGTCTTTGCACAATTAATACAACAATTATACAGTTGTTTTTATATTTAAACAAACCCTATATACAAAAACATCTATGTAACAGAGTGAGATACAGATGTAATCTATACAAGGTTTACATTGCAAAAGACCAGATATATCAATAATGAAAGCTATTCTATTTAATACTTCTTATATAATTTCGCAAAATATTCTCATGGGCACGTCGTAGTTTCATTGATCAGATGTCACAAAGTATAACATTTAGATCGCGGGATAAACAATAATTATATAGAAGAAGATCTGTGTTTCTTGAAAAAACAAACAAATCTGCGTTTCTTCGAAAACTAGAGACTATTATCTTATATGGTTTGACGTCTAATGTGGGGAACACATAAGATACATGTATTTTGCAGTTGATTTCTCGTCGTTGACATTCACACTATGCTTTATTTTATTAAAATGTAAGGTGTGTTCAAAGCAGAAAAAGTAAAGAATGGTGAGAAAATGGACACGTGCGTTGACGGAGGTGTATTAGTGAACTTTCCTTTGCACTGTTTTGATGGTGAGCATTTTGAATTCACAACTTAATATTTATTGATATTATATATTTGCATGCAATTCTAATTATCTTCTCACAGACGAGCGGTGTGTTTTTCTATTTCTGTCGTTGTTGTTAATAATTGTGTATACAATAAATTTACTAATTCTATTCCAAACTGTATCAAATATGGTCACCTAATTCATTAGTATAACATCTTCTCAGTGCGAGCGACAGATGTCCCGTGTGAAAATATCATGCAAAAGTTGAGGAAGTAGTAGTCAAAATCTGATAAAAAATGAAGAGAATTGTTGCACAGTCTAAAACAAATTTGCAAACATAACAATAAAATACATAAACTATCTTAACAGAAAACAAATTGTCAGATAATCGATATAAGCACTCTTATCAATAAACCTTTGGGTGCCAAACTTTTGAACAAGATCTGAAGCCAATCAAAAATTATTTCTGTTTAGTCTAAAGTTACCAGAACAAAACATCCACATTTAAAAAAAGGAAAATTGCACTCAAAAATGTGTATTCAATATTTAACATTCAGTTCATTCGACAAACTATTTCTTTGTCGAAGTATTTTTCGGAAATTAAAATTCGCAGGAATTTGTCTCAGCTGTTAGACCACAAATATAGAGCTTTTAAAATACTAATTTAAAACACGCTTCAAAGACATAAATTATAATAAGTGCTTAGAGATATTCCCACTTTGTACTTACGATACAAAAGACGAAAAATAAAACAAAATACAAGTATTTATAGTGGTGATTCCATCGTAATACATTTTATAAAGTTTTTTTCTTATAGTTTTACACATAATTCAGTATGATTCTGCTTTAAAGTAAGGAAACTGCCATCTAGGGATAACTATCATACTGCAAGCTGTGCTTAGTATACAAACCAACTTCAGCCTTGAAGTATGTACCATGTATCTAAAAATAGCTAGTTGTTGTCCAGTCAGCTCACAGTCAGAGATATGTATTACATACAAGTATTACCCCTGTTTCAGTTATGAAACTTGTTTGTATTCCAAAATTAATTATGACAATGCATATTTATATTGAAACTGTGATAAAGAAATAATATATAACAAAGAGCAAGGTCACCTGAGTTTAACTATGTTTTGTTTTTATTATAATGAAACAAAAATACACAAGAGCACATCATGCACTACTACCTAAAACGAGAAATGAAATTTACCGAGAAGTGTTTTCTATAAGTAATTCATTTACTAGTTAACACCTTTGATTGGTCATGTTTTGGCGACATAGAACTATATTGCACAGAGCTCGACGGAGCCTATACAAGCCATCCACAAGTATGTCTGCATTTCATTTTTTCTAAGCTGATGTAAACTTTTTGTCACTCACTCCTGTTTCTGTGGTTGTTACTTTCTGCTATTTGGTACTGCCATCCGGAAAAGCTCACATGACATCACATCCCTATTGCTCACAGCCAGTAATGTCATATTTCCACGTAATAGTCTAAGACAAGTTGGCGTTATGTACGATGTGTTCGTGCAATTCCTGAAGTAATGCCTTGAAAGAAATGTTCAATGAAGCGTTTGCCCTATTTTTTTAAAACGTAGGGTGGTGGCTATCTATGAAGAAACAAGACAGTTTTCTTCTCCGTTTGCAACCGTTGAAAGATCTATGCAAGCTGTGGAAGAGAGAAGAGCGATTTGGTGAATACAATCCTCTCACACTGGGCGTGTTGACGGTAATAAAATGTACCTGTAAAGCGCTTCCAATTCAAGTGAGACTAGGCGGTTATTTGCTGTCTTACTTTCACCATAAGCATATTGCACATATTGTTTTCTGATTTGTCTTTAGTTTGATAGAAACGTTTGCAAAATGTATTCTTCTGTCAATATTTATTTGTAATTTAATGAAAATTGTTGTTGATGGGCACAGTAATGCAAAATTAGATTAAAATTACAAATTGCAATAAGGTTTTATAAACAGAACGAGTTACATTTTTTTGTTTTACTAAATGTAGTATTGCGAGAATGACCCTGAAGTATATGAAGATCTAATGACTGCTGATGAATCAAGTCCTACAAAAAGACCAAGCACAAAGTTAGCCAGGTAAATACACTCTAGCCCACATTGCAGTAACCGTGACAACACGACATTATTATCCTTACCTATACTATACAAATCAGCGCATTCTTCTTCTTTGCGTCGACTAGCGACGCCACGCTTCTGTAAGATGAATCACCGATGAATGAGTGAGATAAAACGGTGAATAAGTGAATGCTTTGATCACAAATGGTAAACAACTAAACAATCATAGTTGCCACTTTGAATAGCATTGCTCTCACCTATTCATAAAGTTTTTTACATTCTCACGTTAAAGGGTGCGTCTCGTAAAATGCTTTTAAACAAGGCGTGTGTCAAATAAATGTTCTATTTTTTATAATTTATTACAATCTGATATATTCTCCCCCAGTGAATCGACTCCTGTGCGAGTTCATTTAGCATGGAAACATCCAGTCATTGCATCATAAAATAAAATTGCAATTTAGTTAATGATTATTGGTGTTTCATATACCCATATATAGCCATAAGACATTATATTTTAGGAAAAAAACTGAATCTGAGCAGGAGACCAAGAAAATAGAAGGAGAATTCACCAAGATAGCCACAGCCTTCAGTAAATTCTTACGAGCCATAGATGAAAATGACCTAGACAAGAATAATACTCTTGACAAAGATGAGTTGAAAAAACTGTTGAATAATGTAAGATGATTGATACCCATATTCGTTATTTCTATCATACTATGTCAAATAGGGATGCATTCAAATACTTGTACGACAATAAGTTGCAAAATACTAACATATTTATATTGTTTCTTAAGAGTAAGACTTTTACAAAGAAGGACGCAAAGCTATTATTTGGTGGTGATTATGAGCCTGAAACTGTGTTTGATGATTTGGACAGAAATCATAATGGAAAGGTAAGTATTTTATACATTTTCCTGATTATCTGAATTACCATAATTTTATACCACACTACCACAATTCAGTTAAAATATGGCCTACATGTGCAACTCAAGTTGAGCAGTTTTGTATTTCATGGACCACAAGTTTGTGGATCACATTTTCAGTATTTTCTCCAGCATCTACACTTGTGCATGCAGAAAACATGACTGCCGAAATTCAGTGTGACTTGTATATATTGTGCGGTCGACCTCGTGGAATTGCAGTTGCACAGGAACCCAAAAGGAGCTCTATGGTAATGTTCGATGGCCTGAGTCCAGTATTACTTTTATGTGTACAACCATTACAATTTGCATAACAAAATCCAATGTTCAGAATAATTAAATTGAATATTGTAATGCTTGTTCCGGAAAAGCTATTTGAACCAGATATTTTTGGCAGAGTCGCATAGTTCAACGACAGAGTTGAGTAGATTCAGAAAAGAAAAATTATACTGAACGACGTAAGTGCTTTTGGGTCTTGTCCCAATAGTACCGTCTCCCCTTTGGCAGTAGACTTATCGTTAAAGTTTATTAAATTTGATATATAGATTCAACACTTAAGAAATAGGATGACAACCAACCCAACCTTCAAACCAGAAATCATCTATCCAATGTACGCGGTAAAAAAGAGGGAACTGTTAATATAATCGAATGATTAGGTTAGGAAGGTTGTTAAGTGACTATTTGCTTCAATCAATAATTGAGATAAAATGACATAATATTACAGAAATTGTGCAAGTTGTGGAAGTATTAAAACTAATAAGTTATATAAACTTATATACACATGTTTGTCAACATATTTCGATTTTGGATATTGTTATTTACTAAATGTGAATTTTCAAAATTACAGATTGACATGGTAGAATTGGTGAAATTTGCTGAACAAAAAGGAATTGACTTGTACAACAACTTTATCAGCTATGACAGAGTAGAAATAACCAATGTAGGAGAATTCATGAGTAAATTGATCACAACAATGACCGTGAATCTGAAACGTCTTTTCTATACGGTGAGAGTGAGCCTTACATAAGTGTTAATGTAACTCCACACGTAAATCAGAAAAGTATATGTGAATGAAGGACACTGAAAATGAAAAGTACTACAATTTATTTTCGTAAACGAATAGTCCTATAAGATAAATGACAATAAACAAAAACACCATGGAAATGGAAACAAACATATACGTGAACTTGTTTGCATGAAAACAGTGACTGAGATTTACCAATGAATTTCACCATGGTGGTCATTTTGAGACAGAAAAATACTTGCAAGTGTGATAATTATTTTGGTAATCCGAGTTTCTTCTTCCGACTTCCAAACAATCAGACACAGGAACCAACTTGAAAAAGGTTTCAGTAAATGTATTTTTAATACTACGTTAGACATATATATCAATGAAAGGAAAGCTACTAATCCCGGCATTACTAAAAATAATCATTGAAAAAATTATTAAGGTTGTTTACTCTCCGAGCAATATAATTTCTTGTCACTGTGTTCTTCATTTTGCTGTCGCATGGGCTTAATTTGTTTCGGAGGTATGCCATTAAATGTTTTGCGTTATATTCCAGCATATGAGAGCAAATATATTTGTAATATATAATTCAAAGGTTTAAATAGTCTATAATGTTTGTCAGTTTCCAAATGAATATAAATGTGTAAATATGACTGTCGCCATGAATCCGAGTACATTTATAGCATAGTGGTTTAACTGTTTAATGTCATTGCGCTATTCACAGGAGAAGGATATAAATCGCACTATTGCTATTAATGTAGACTACCTTGGAACTCTGGACTTGGATGCTGAAATAGGGGATAAGATGTTTGCAATTAAGGTGAGATAAACATTGATACCTTGGTAATATACTATGATGAACGCATGATGTCATTATGCCGATGGACCTGCTGATTATCGTTTTATAATGTTACTATATTTATATCTATTTACAGCAAGGGGCAAAGTCTACGAGATGCTTTCTACAACAATACGTAAAGAGACACGAGTTATTAACTGGACTGGTTTATCAACGTGTGAAACAGTCTACATAAGTTTTCGAGATGTCAGTTTTAGTTTTAGCAACATATGACATCATTATTTAAGAACGTATCATACTTTGAGGACATTTATGAAGGCCAAAATTAAGCTCAGTTTATTGCTTAAACGTCCATACAAACTTGTGGTATATAAATATATTTTATGATAGGTTAGTGTTGCAATGGTCAATCGAATTGTTCAACATGTGCTTCGTAATGCACGTTAGGGTGCCCTTTACTCCCGAAGACAAACAGTTCGTACATCACCTGTTGTGCACAAGCTATGATTTTGTAGAGCGATATCTGGCAATGTGTTATTGGTTTTAATGCTATAAATGTAGCATATATCGACAAATAATTGTTATCAGTTATATAGCAATGGGGGCTCACGGTACTTTCAATATTCTTGTTAATGTCTTATAACATCTATGGTAGGATTTGATTTGTACTCCCTGATTATTTCACAACTTTGTAAACATTTCATTAACAATAAGTGTCGTTAAGATGTTAATTGTTTGTAGACTAATATATAAATGTACGTGTAGGTTTTTCATTATGATTTACACTCGTATATAAAATACTTGAGTGATTTTATTGTTTGGTATAGCAGTACTATAGACACATACCAGTGTTTAGTGTGACCCTTGTATATAGAATTACTTTTTAATAGCTAACCAAACTAACAAATGGTAATTAAATAAAGCTGATGTTAATAATTGTACTTTTTGAGTTTATTGATATACCTTACTTGTCTCCACTGAATTGTATGACTTGCTTTGCATTGTATGGAAGTCATCTGCGAAGGTAGACCTGTTAGTCCCAGGACTATTAATTCAGCTTTTCTTTTGATAATTTTTTTCAGCCATCATTCGGAAGTAGTAGCAATAATCGCGCTAGACAATAAATGAGTATCGATCATGTCAAACAAAGGGAGCAAATAGTGGTAAAGTCTTAAATAACCTCGCTGAAACAATATCATTTTTTATTTTAGGAGTGTTTGCCAAAGATGAGCTATTGATATCGAACGTAGATATATATTTGGCGTATTATTATTATAAGTCAAATAACCGCCAATGGGGATTGTAAGCCTGAAATCCTCGTTGGCGGATATCTATTACTTTGCTCTGCTGAACATTCACAACACATAGGATCACCACCGGTAACAATATTAATATCCTTTCTCTGTTTATGTGTCCAAAACAAAATTTATCCAATCATTCAGATTTGTAGTGATGAAATTTATGTCACTCATATCTTGACTAGCGATTTTAAATGCTATCTGATTACGCAAAAAATAATAATTCTCGCTTTAATCTGTTAGCTAGAATATTGGGGATGTAACAAGATTGAATTATGGATACGAACCCGCACATATATGAGATAATCCCCTAAACAAGACTAATAGTTTAGGTCCGGTATACTCCATATGTTTATCGCGGTCCACACGCTCACACAGGAATCGTAAGTTTGTTTCAGATATCTAAGATTACAGCCAAACCACGCGACTGGTAGGAATTATATTTTTGCTGCTATAAGGAGTTTATTGGATAGATGCAACTTGGCAAATGTCAAATCAATATCATAAATGTGGCATCAGTATTAAACGACTTGCTTTTTAAATGAAATCCAATATGGCGTCCAAAACCAAATCACCTATCAACTTTGCAAACTTCAAGGAGCTTCATACATATATGATAAACACAATATTTCAGATCAAGGTACTCAGAGGTTCTTGAGAATCCGAAGCGTCAATCAGCGAAACATAAATTAAAGCTGAAACTTTTACATTGTAACTAATACGCACGCAAAAATGTCAAAAGTGGCCTCAAACTTTTAGGTTTCAGTGACGATTTGACCACAAACCATGTGGTTGATGGTTCAGAAACAAATTAAGCATTCTTCCCATTTTGTAGTAACACCAGTCACGTGACTTTTTTGTATTTGAGTTTTTAATACTACATATGGTATTGATGCTGCTGCTGCTGCAAAAAAAATGCCAAGATCTGACAAGTGTGAACAGTTTTAAATGTCTTGGTGTCCTTAAATCCGAGATGGTTGCCGAATTATTCAATTGATACAATAATTTTTGAGAAAATGATTTTAGAGCATTTGTTTCGATTTAAGTTTTATCAAAGGAGGCGTCCAAATTACTCACCCATTCAGCACACCAAATTACAGGCAAGTATTAAACTATGATTCATACAGTTAAAGTAATAGATCCAAATATGATTAGTTAAAAATGACTAGATTACAGAAGATAAACCAAAAATAAAGTTTCAGAAGCAATGGAAAGTATGAATAATATAGTTCATTCGGTCTACATTCAATCAAAGATGGCGACCAAATCAAATTAAGAAAGATGAATTTGAATCTATTTGTACAATAACCCAGTTCAAAGATATGCTAGTAGTGTTGGTTTTCGTCGTAACCTCAAAACGTGCCCTAGCCTAATCTGACTTTACTAACAATTATGTTTTGAAAACATCGGTCCAAGTTTGGAAAATAACTGAGAAATGAAAATAAAACCAACATGACTATCAATCGATAATGTTAAATCGGTAGCAAAATTGTTATTTTTCATGACCAATAAACCCAACTTCAATCCTGACTTTGGGAGGCTAATTCCATTGTTCGAAGGACAACTTCTGTTCAACTGGGATGAATATGTATTTCACAAATGGAAGGCACATCATATTTAACCAATTGTACCTGCAATTGTTACAGTATCATATTTGAACCAAATCTGTAAAACTTTCTAACTAACTGTAATAACAATTTGAATCAAATCGCTATATCAATGCCAGATTTGAATGAAATCGTTAAAACATCCACGGGGAACGATTGAAGCCATGTTCAAATGTTTATTTTTTGAAAAATACCTGTCAGTCAACGGTCAATCAAACGAAAAGTCGACGTATATATGTATCGAATTTTATTTATTTACCAAATATAAAATCGGTATGTCTGACAAATAGCGGACGCACACATGGACGGGCGAAAACAAAACACAAACTTAAGACTTTGTCATATAGGAACTACTACTAACTATACGAGCAGTTATTTTGCCATTTGTGTAGAAAAGTAATAAATTTGCCAGATGAAGGAAATTTATACAGTCACTTTTATAACAAGTTAACTGCAGGTTACGACAGATCAGATGATCAGCTAAATATTGAGCATTCTTCATTTCTTGGTAAAGCACAATAGTACTTCCTCATAATATGTAATGTATTACTTCGATAGGCACATATAACGCCATGCGAACGTGCGGATAAACGATTGTTATCAATGACATGATAGAAAACTACACAATATTAGCAGATTGAATATATGTCCGACACGCTCAACTAAAGGTAGGATCAAATTGTCTTTTCAGCCTCCGTTTTGTCCAATTTATAACCATGACTTATGGATCGAACTCCATGTGTACGTGCGTGCGCTCGGATACATGTACACATCTATTCGCTCTCTGATCTCATACAAGGTGACCGAATAACTGCCATTTTAATGTTGAATCTTCATCAAGATCAAGCATTTCTGTCATTCCTGAACGCGACTTCGGTTTCGATCTCCCATGCAAATTCGTCACAACATCTGACTTCCATGTCCCATTTATCATGGAAACGCTCCACAATTTGATTGTCTGTAGTTAATATAGTTTTATAGCGGCAATTCTGTCAATATAATAGCGGGGCGACGGCTGAATGAACCTTAGCTGGTGAAGATACATTGAACACACATAGAAATCAGTGAGCCGGTCATATAGGTTATTCCTCGAAATAGTCATATTCACAGATTCTGCCATCAAAGCAACGAAAAGTGAGAGTAACAGAGTACTTTCGGTTTACATTCCAAGACGGCGGAATTCGATTACAATTTCAATTAGCATAGTTAACATAAAGCACTTGTCTGAAGTGAAACTTTGTGGATTGTATAAAGTTCCTGAAACAGGTATTCAATGTGCTGTGGCACTCAATATGTATAAAAACTGCATTCGAAACATCTAAGGTATTTTGCCGAGGTGAAAACGTAACTCTTTGTAAGAGACACCGATATACTAGTGGTGTATATAAAACACGCCAGCAAGGTCTGAGTTGTAAAAGTAAGCAGATCTGGTTATACAGTCCTGCGACCCAGAAGAAGATAAACACATTATTGGGGTTTATTATATTTTAAACTCGATAGTTACTTTTATGATTAGGTGAGAATTGATTTCTCAAGACAGCACATGGTGATAATTTTGAAATATTCAATTGATGTGTCGTGTATGTAAATAATTGATAAACTCTCAGGCGTTGAATCATGTTACATATTAATCAAACTCGTAACATGCCCTTGTACTCTGTATATACATGGTCCAACGACATCGATCCGCATTTGCATCGCATAAAATTCCTATCAATAGCTCATAAACACTTCCATTTCATAATCAAACGAAATAAAACAATTCCTACTAAACACTCCCCTACGCCGGGGAACTATGTCTGCTAATGTGATAAAAATGCCATCCTCAGGCCTATATCTCACTCGTGTTAATTATTATTATAGTGCGTATAAAACTCGATCAAGTACGAGTTCGTACTGAAATCTATAGTTTCTAACTTTACATACGTTAATAAGGTTTTATAATTAGTTTTGCTTAAACCTAATAGCGTTTCGATGCTAGTGACGATACAGGGTGTACTGGCATTGGACGTGCAGCCTACTGTATCTCAAAGGTTAAAGGTTGAAATACGAAGTTTATCGCGAGACAGCTACATGAAATAGCATTTATTGAGTATAATTTATTAAGTGAATCAAGTAAATGAAATATGATTTCAATTTTGACATCAGTTTATGACATCAAGGGAAAGAATATGGTGGTTATACAGATGGCTGTCCTTAGCCTAATATTCAGAGTCGAGTATGTCATATAGGAATATAAAGCATATACGTATGTGACCTCCAATAACAAAACACTCTTAGTTATTATTTTCTAAATTCGATCACTAACAAAGCGTATCTTAAATTCAGTTTTCTTAGCCAGTGCTAGTGGTAAAGCCGCAGTGACACCTAATGTATATTTGCAATCAGCATCTGTGTACT